ACTGGAGTGCAGTGGCTGCTCCCGGCCACCGCAGCCTCGACCTGCTGGGCTCCGGCGATCCTTCTGCCTCAGCCTTCCCAGTAGCCGGAATTACAGGCATGCGCTACCATGCCCGGCTAATTTTTTGATTTATTGTAGAGATGAGGTCTTGCCTGCCCAGGCAGGTCTCGAACCTGCGGGCTCAGGCAATCCACTCACCTCAGCCTCCCAAAGGCGCGGGATTACAGGCTGGGCCACCGAGCCCGGCTGTGGCTCATATCTAATCCCAGCACTTTGGGAGGCCTAGGCAGGAGGATCACTTGAGGCCAGGAGTTCAATACCAGCCTGGGCAATATAGTGACACTTCATCTCTACAAGAAATCAGAAAATAGCCAAGTTATTACTAACGCCTGTAATCCTGGCACTTTGGGAGGCGGAGTCTAGAGAATTGCCTGAAATCAGGGGGTTCGAGACAAGCCCGAGCAACATGGCGAGACCTTGTCTCTACAGTAAATCATAAAATTAGCTGGGTGTGGTAGCACGTACCTGTGGTTCCAGTTACTCGGAAGGCTGAAGGGTCACCTGACCCCAGCAGGTCGAGGCTGCGGTGGCCATGAACGTGCCACTGCACTCCAGCCGGGGTGACAGGCATGAGCCACCTCGCCCAGCCTGGCCATATCTTCTTAATAGACTATATTAAGTGTCAGTTTTCCTTCATGAAAGACAAATTAACTTAATTTTAAATTATACCACTGTTACTTAATGATTAATATTGGTGAATTGTTAAAGGGTTCCCAAAATATAACAATTATTCATACTAATAAAGGAAAAAATATATAAATTTTCCAATTTATCCTCTGCTTTTTGTTTTCTTGTTCCTTTACCAGTATTTTATTTTTTAATGGAAAATATGTATGTTTTTATTTATCTTGACACCATGTGTTCCCAAGAGTTTTATTACATTATTGCCAGTGGTGATGCATTGTTAGTCCAGAATAATGGTTTCTGTTTCACTAGAAGTAATAGTGGTGAACTTCACCGTTTGTAGTCTTCTCTTCTACACATTTACTGCTTACTGAACTCACTATACTCTATACTTCTGCTGTTCATATGCTGCTGTCTTACAAAATGCTTATACTTTTACCATGAACTTAGCCTAGAAAAAATGTGATTCCCACAATATCTTATAATGTGTGTTGAGTACTCCACGTTGGATCCTCTTTAGCATCAGTAGAAGTTTTTCCAGTTGATGCCCAAGGTAGCACTGGGAAAGATATATACTTATGTACGGCCTTTGTTTATCCAGAAGCTTTGCCTGGATGATGAACATCTTCTGTGACTACTTTGTTCATTGTTTGCATTGGTATTATTATTACTGCTTTAAAATATATCTGACAAATAATAAAAATGCTTCTCAAATAGATTTCCAATATCTTTCATTTTAGTTATTGTAGTCTATGGTGTCTTTTTTTCCTGTGTAAAAATTGGCTTCAGCCGGGCTCGGTGGCTCAGCCTGTAATCCCGCGCCTTTGGGAGACTGAGGTGAGTGGATTGCCTGAGCCCGCGGGTTCGAGACCCGCCTGGGCAGGCGAGACCTCATCTCTACAATAAATAAAAAAGAAAAAAAATGAGCCAGGCGTGGTAGCGCGTGCCTGTAGCTCCGGCTACTTGGAAGGCTGAAGCGGAAGGATCGCCGGAGCCCAGCAGGCGAGGCTGCGGTGGCCGGGAACGGCCACTACACTCCAGTCTGGGCGACAGAGTGAGACTCCAACTCAAAAAGAAAAAAAAAAATTGGCTTCTTTGTCATCCTTTTTTAATATTTCAACTCAAAGCAGTGGTAGTGGGTATACTTTTGTTAACAATATATCTCATATATCAGGAAAATGAATATTACTTTAATCTCTAAACAGAAACCAGCCAGATCACTTGCATCTGTTCCTTGCAAATCATTGAAGACCTCAGATGAAATAATTGAGACTACCAATGACTTGGGGAAGATGGAGCTTTTCTGCTCTATTAATTGTTTTTCTGCATATAATAAAGCTAAGATGGAATCTTCTACAGGTAATGTTTGTTTAGCAGTTGCAAGGTTTTAGTAACTATTGAAGAATATTGCAGCCAGGCACAGTATCTCACACCTATAATGCCAGCACTTTGGGAGATTGAGGCCCACCCAGGAGTCTATCCTGGGCAGCATAGTAAGACTCTGTCTCTAAAAAGAGGTTTTTTAAAAAAATTACTCAGCATGGTGGCGTGTTCCTCTGGTTCTAGCTACTTGGGAGGCTAAAGCAGGAGAATCACTTGAGCCCAGGAAATTGAGGCTACAGGACCTATGATCATGCCACTGTAATCCTGCCTGGTTGACAGAATAAGACCCTTTTTAAAAAAAAAAAAAAGAACTGCTCGCCTGATGCTAAACCAGCACCTGTTCAGAGAATGTGCAGAGAATCACAGTGCTAGGGAATGTGTTCAAATTTGAGTTCTCTAGTGATTACATGACTAGATCTCACTCAGTTGCCTAGGCTAGAGTATGGTGAAATGATTATATCTGACTGCAACCTTGAACTCCTGACCCTTAAAGTTTGTAACCTGTGTTTGGGAAATTCCAGAAAAAAAATCTAATCTTCAGTGTGGTAATGGAAGCCTACTACTGAGGAAGCATGTGATTGCCTTAAGGAAGGTTGGAGTGCAGTGACACACCGGTGGCCACCCCAGAATCGACCTGCTAGGCTCCCATGATCCTTCCAACTTAGCCTTCCGGGTGGCTGGAACTACAGGCATGTGCTACCACATGGCTGATTTTTTTTATTTATTGTAGAGATGAGGTCTCGCCAAGTTGCCTGGGCTGGTCTCGAACCCATGGGCTCACACAATTTTCTCATCTTGGCCTCACAAGGTGGTGAGATTACAAGTTTGAGCCACCGTGGCTGGCCGAAATGGACCACTTTTAACGTGCACCATTTCCCCCCTTGGTTCAGGCCATCTTTATTTTTTGCCTCCTAATTAATCACCTAGCATCTACTGTATTCCCCCAGAACAATCCCCATAGGAAGACTCTTGTTATATTTTGCTTTTTACATTTTAACCTAAGGGTAATTAAGTTCCTCCTCTACTAAAATTCTTGGATTGTATTTTATCTGATGCAGAGCAGAGACGTAAACAGCGCCTACAAGAACAATCACCCAGGTTGCACAATGAATATTTGTGTGCCTGACCCTGAATTGTACCCCACAATTTTAAAATTAAATTTAAAAAAAAAAAAAAGGAAGAAGGTTGGTGCAGTGGCTCACGCCTGTTGACCTCATACCTTTGGAGGCTGAGACTAGAGGATCGCTCAAACCTAGGAATTCCAGATCAACCTAGGCAACATAGTGAGACCTTACCTCTATTAAAAAAGAAAAATATTTTTTAGGCTGGGTGTGGCGGCTCAAACCTGTAATCCCAGCACTTTGGGAGGCTCAGGTAAGAGGATTGTCTGAACTCACAGGTTGGAGACCAGCCTGGGCAACTTGGCGAGACCTCATCTCTATAGTAAATCAAAAAAAACAAAAAAAATTATCCGGGCATGGTGCCTTATGCCTGTAGTTCCAGCTACTTGGATGACTGAGGCAGAAGCATTGCCTGAACCCAGCAGGTTGAGGTTGCAGTGGCCGTGAGTATGTGCCACTGCACTTCAGTCTGGGCGACAGAGTGAGACTTGGACTCAAAAAAAAAAAAAAAATAGAAAAATATTTTTTTATAAAGATTGAAGAAGGTTACACTTTGCTTTAATTTATTTGCATTAATATATTCAAGGGAGACCTCCAAAAAACCGGAATTTATTTTTAAATTGTGTATTTATTCTTTTTTTTTTTGAGTTGGAGTCTCACTCTGTCACCCAGACTGGAGTGCAGTGGCTGCTCCCGACCACCGCAGCCTCGGCCTGCTGGGCTCCAGCGATCCTTCCGCCTCAGCCTTCCAAGTAGCTGGAATTACAGGCATGCGCTACCATGCCCAGCTGATTTTTTGATTTATTGTAGAGATGAGGTCTCGCTGCCCAGGCGAGTCTCGAACCTGTGGGCTCAGGCAATCCACTCACCTCAGCCTCCCAAAGGCGTGGGGTTATAGGCTGAGCCACCGAGCCCGGCGTGTATTTATTCTTACATGTTGAAACTTAAGTCACCTTAAAGGACTCTCTGTGATGCAATACACCTATTGAAACACTTTTCACTGCTCAAAACACTTTTGGAGGCTGGGCGCAGTGGCTTATACCTATAATCTCAGCACTTTGGGGAGGCAGAGGCAAGAGAATTGTTTGAGCCCAGGAATTTGAGGCATGGTGGCTTGAGCCTGTGGAAAGCTATTGGAAAGCTGAAGTGGAAGGATCGCCTGAGCCTAACAGGTTGAGGCTGTGGTAGCCATGACCTTGCTATTGCACTGCAGCCTTGGCGACAGAGTCGTACTCTTACTTTTAAAAAAACAAAAACAAGTCCGGACTCAGCAGCTCAAGCCTGTAATCTCAGCACTTTGGGAGGCCGAGGCAAGAGGATTGCCTGAGCCCACAGGTTCGAGACCAGTCCAGACAACTTGGTGAGACCTCATCTCTACAATAAATCAAAAAATTAGCCAGGTGTGGTGGTGCAAGCCTGTAGTTCGAGCTACTGGGAAGGCTGAAGCAGAAGGATTGTCTGACCCCAGCAGGTCAAGTCTGCGGTTGCCATAAGGGTGCCACTGCACTCCAGCCTAGGTGACAGTGAGACTCCAAGTCAAACACAAAAAACAATTCTTGAACTTGATCAATTTTCATGCCTTTTGGTGCTTCTGCTGATTTTTGTTTAACCTCTTTTTTTATCTGGGGAAACAAAAAAAGTTCATTCAGGGCCAAGATTGAGTGACTAGAGAGGGTAAGGCATGGAATCATGACATTTTTGGTCAAATACTGCTGGACACTCAGCATGGTATGGACAGGTTTGTTGTCGTGGTGTAAGAAACAGTGACCTGTGGCAAATGCCATAACTCCAGATGTTTCTTCTGCAAATCGTGATTCAGCCTTCTCAAAACTTCCAGATAAAAACTTTGGTTCACCTTTTGATCATGAGGAACAAATTCTGAGTGTACTACAAGGGGCCTGCCTTGCAAAAGATAATTTCGGTTTTTCAGGGGTCCCCTGTGTATTGAGTACCTCCTACAGGATTAGCACATAGGAAGCACTTAGTATTAAGTTTATTCAATATATTGAGTCCAGCATGGTGGACCACACCTATAATCCCAGCACTTTGGGAGCTGAGGCGAGAGAATTGCTTGAGCCAGGAGCTTGAGACCAGCCTGGGCAACATAGTGAGACCTCATCTCTACAAAAATTTTAAAACCTAGCTAGGCCCCGGGCTTGGTGACTCAGCCTGTAATCCTGCACCTTTGGGAGGCTGAGGTGAGTGGATTGCCTGAGCCCGCGGGTTCAAGACCCGCCTGGGCAACTTGGCGAGACTTCATCTCTACAATAAATCAAAAATTAGCCGGGCATGGTAGCGCATGCCTGTAGTTCCAGCTACTTGGAAGGCTGAGACGAAAGGATCGCCGGGGCCCAGCAGGTCTAGGCTGCAGTGGCCGGGAGTGGCCACTGCACCCCAGTCTGGGTGACAGAGTAAGACTCCAACTCAAAAAAAAAAAAAACTAGCTAGGCATGGTGGCACGAACCTATAGTCCCAGCCACTTGGGAGACTGAGGTAGGAAGATTGCCTGAGGCCAGGAGGGCAAGGCTGCAGTGAGCCATGATCATGCCACTGCACTCCAGCCTGGGAACAGAGTGAGAGTTTAACTAAAAAAAAAAATCAGTATACTATATTTATAAGAAAGGTTCTGTTAGAATATAGAACGTTGTACTTAGCCCAGCTCTATAAAAGCAAGGTTTTTAAGTTACATTCTTTACATGAAGTATAGATAGTCATAAATGCTATAAAGTTTACTAATAGAAAAGCCCAAACGATCAGGGCAACTAAGTATTTCATCAAAGAGCCTCATATAGGACTAGTGGTGCTATTTACACAGACTGTAGAGTGACTGATATCTCTGGAGTTTGTAAATCATGCAAACTGGCTTATTACAGAAATCTGCAATATTAGCTTGGACACCAACCTAGATCCATTGATGTTGAGTTTTATAAATTCTGGAAGAGTTATTACCCATTAGGAAATTCTATAGAGTCTCTTTTCTATAGAGTCTCTGTTCTTCATGGTTAATTTCTCAGTAAAGTTTTTTGCTCATTTTCAAGCAAATACTGTAAAAGGACTGGGAAGCTATATGCAAAGGTAAAAGATATGAAATATTGAGGAAGTATAAATTTTCAGTTTAGTGTTTTAATAAAAATTCCTTCAGTACCCATAAATACCTTGTACTCTGAGATACTTGCGTAGTTTCTTGAAACACTTGTCTGATTAAATGATGCTTTCTGACTGATTTTGCCTAGTTTATAAGAAATCTTTTTGTTTTCATCAGAAAATGTTTCCATGGTGCATGATACTTCAGCAGAGCTCCTTTCTCCAAAGAAAGATATGACTCCAGTTATAAGCAACATAGTGTCATTGGCAGACAGTCATGTTGCCCTGCCCATGGTGAACACCGATGTCTTACAAGGTAAAAGTTGATGTTAAAATATTTGGCATAAACACTGTTTGGTCGTCTTTGATAAATCTATATGCTAAATTTTATTTTCATTTCCTGATATGAAATAAGCAATTACAGTTTATGATACTACTTGTAGATTACAGTATGAGATCTTGAGTTTATGCTCTTATTTTAACAGGTACAGTTTCTTCAGTAACAGCAAATGTCATTATGAATGTAAGTTTTATTTTATTTTAATTTATTACTATCTTTTGTCAACACATTTTTAATATGCACAGTAATTGTATATAGTTAGATTGTTTAAACAGAAGTATTGTCATATTTTTTCCTCTGGGTTCTTTTTTTGAAAATGTCAAATAATTCTAGTCATCTGAGTGATAAAAATTTTTTATTACAATTATATGCCAAAGGGTCATTTGAAGATTATTTATTTATTTATTTATTGGTCATAAAGCAGAGACAGGGTCTTGCTATGTTGTGCAGACTGGTCTCGAACTTCTGGGCTTAAACAGTCCTCCCATCTCAGCCTCCCAACAGGCTGGGATTACAGGTGTGAGCCACCATGCCCAGCCTACTTTAAAGATTTAATGCTGAATCTAGATTGTAAATAAATAACTTACAAATAATTGTTAATGTTTCCCCCTAGTGGAGCTCACACTGTAACTCAACCGTTTATTTTACTGTGTTATTAGAATACAGTACTGTAGGTGTGTTTTGATATTTTAATTGGTTATTTGAAAACTATTAAAACAAGTGCTGTTTTATCATTTTCTCCTGAAGATTTCTAAGAATTCAGCCAGTGAATCAAATAGTAGTGTTAACAGTAGCAATATGGAAGAACCAAGTCTTTCGCCATCTGCATCAATACTCAGTCAGGATATAGTTGGTTCCAGTATAGAAGTACAAAAAGATAAAGTATCAAACCAAGATTCTGCATACAATATGACATCTATGAAAATAAGTGATGGACTGTGTCACCCAAAATTTATATCCAAAATACAAAAAGTTAAAGGTAAATCACGAAATATCCAAAAATCTTGGTGTGCAAATTATCAGTTTTTGGAAAACAGTATTAAAAAAGATGTGACATTCTGTTATTCATGCCAGTTGTTCTGCCAGAAAAATTTTAGCTATAGAAAAGAATCGTTTGCAACCCACGAAACTTGTAATTGGGAAGAAACTCTGGAAAAATTCAGGAAGCATGAAAACAGTGAAATGCATTTGAAGTCATTGCAATTTTGGAGAGAATACCAGTTTTGTGATGGAGCTGTCAGTGATAATTTATCTATTAATTCAAAACAGATTGAGGGAAATAAAAAGTACCTAAAGCTTATAATTGAAAATATTTTATTTCTTGGAAAGCAATGTTTACCTTTAAGAGGAAATGACCAGTCTATTTCATCTGTGAATAAAGGCAATTTTTTAGAATTGTTAGAAATCAGAGCAAAAGATAAAGGAGAAGAAATATTTCGACTTATGAATTCACAAGTTGACTTCTATAATAGTACACAAATTCAAAGTGATATTATTGAAATAATAAAGACTGAAATGTTGCAGGATATTGTGAATGAGATCAATGACTCTTCAGCTTTTTCAATAATATGTGATGAGATAACTGATACTGCCACAAAAGAACAGCTTTCAGTTTGTGTAAGATACCCACAAAAATTATCAAAGGCTATCTTAATTAAAGAAAGATTCTTGGGTTTTGTTGATATTGAAGAGATGACTGGGCCCCACTTACATAGGACTATCAAAACTTATCTCCAGCAAATTGGAGTTGATTTGAATAAAATACGTGGCCAGGCCTATGATAGTACCACTGATTTGAGGATAAAATTTAATAAAATTGCAGCAGAATTCAAGAAGGAAGAACCACGAGCTTTATACATACATTGTTATGCACACTTCTTGGATTTAGCAGTAATTAGGTTTTGTAAAGAAGTAAAAGAACTTCGAAGTACTCTAAACACTCTCAGTTCTTTGTTCAACACTATTCATATGTCTGGGGAAATGTTGGCCAATTTTCAAAACATTTGTAAGATAAGTCAAAACAAAACATGCAAAAAACATACATCACAATCATGTTGGACAGTCCATGATCATATGTTACTGTCTGTGATTGATGGTCTTCCAGAGATTATTGAAACATTGCAAGTTTTATCAAGCCATTCTACAAACACAAGTTTGGCTGATAAACTGAGTGATTTGCTGACATTGGTTTCTAAATTTGAATTTGTCTTTTGTTTGAAACTTCTTTATCGAGTGCTAAGTGTTACAGAAATTCTTTCCAAAGAGCTTCAAAATAATACCATAGACATTTTTTCTTTGTCTTCAAAAATAGAAGCAATTTTGGAATGTTTATCATCTGAAAGGAGTGATGTATATTTCAAAACTATCTGGGATGGAGCAGAGAAAATATGTCAAAAAATAACCTGTAAAGGTTTTGAAGTTGAAAAGCCTTCTCTTCAGAAAAGAAGAAAAACTCAGAAAACAACAGATCTCGGGAATTCAGATAATATTTTTTTTCCTACTTCAACAGAAGAACAATATAAAATTAATATTTATTACCAAGGGTTGGATACTGTATTACAAAATTTAAAATTATGCTTTTCAGAGTTTGATTATTGTAAAATAAAGCAAATTTCAGAACTGTTATTTAAATGGAATGAACCATTAAATGAAACAATAGCCAGACATGTTCAGGAATTTTATAAACTTGATGGGGACATTATCCCAGAACTTAGATTTTATCGGCATTATGCAAAACTTAACTTTGTCATAGATAATGATTGCATCAACTTCATCAGTCTTGGCTATTTGTTTATTCAGCATGGTCTTCACAATAATATTCCTTGCATCTCAGAGCTATTATATATTGCTTTGTCTTGGCCAGTTACTTCAAGTGCTGAGAACTCATATTCTACACTGCCTCAACTTAAAACATTTTTATGTCATTCATTGGGACAAGAGAAGCTTAGTGGCCTGGCCCTAATGGCTGTTGAGCAGGAATTGGTAAATAAACTAATGGAGCCTGAAAGACTCAGTGGAATTATGGAAAAGTTTATCAGTCAGATGAAATAAATCTAATACTTGCTAATTTGAATTTACCTTAAAAAATCTTGTATTTCTGTTGCTAGTTTTTATTTCAAACTTATGGTTCAAAATTCAAAAGACATAGAATGATACACAGTGAAAACTCTTCTTTCCTTCTTGAGAATTCAGTTCCTCCTCCCTGGAGTGTCATCTTTTCTTAAATATCTTTCTAGAGATTTTTTTTTTTTTTTTTTTGAGTTGGAGTCACTCTGTTGCCCAGGCTGGAGTGCAGTGGCAAGCTCACGGTCACTGCAACCTCAACCTGCTGGACTCAGGCAATCCCTTCCACCTCAGCCTTCCAAGTAGCAGGAGCTACAAACACGCACTACCATGCCTGGCTAATTTTTTTTTTTTTTTTAATTGTAGAGATGAGGTCTCACCATGTTGCCCAGGCTGGTCTCAAACCCATGGACTCAGGCAATCCATTAATCTCTGCCTCCCAAAGTGGCATGAGCCACCATGCCCAGTATTTTTCATAAGTGTTACTATGCAATGCATGCTATTCTTCAGCTTGTCCTTTCCACATAACATGTTATTTTTGAGATTGTCCCATTTGAGTACATAAAGAGTTTCCTGATTCTGTCATTCACAACTGCAGCTTTTATTGTATGAATGTATTGTAACGTAAATTTGCACAGTCCCTACTGACATTTTTAAAAAATATTTTACTATTATAAATAATGCTTCACTTAATAGCCTTATACATATATCACGTTATATTGTAAGTAACTGTAAGATAAAATCTAAAATTAGAATTACTACAGATTTGTTCATTTTTATTTTTGATATTGACAAATTGCGTTTTTTTTTTTTGAGTTGAAGTCTCACTCTGTCGCCCAGACTGGAGTGCAGTGGCCGCTCCCAGCCACCGCAGCCTCGACCTGCTGGGCTCCGGCGATCCTTCCACCTCAGCCTTCCGAGTAGCCGGAATTATAGGCATGTGCTGCCACGTGTGGCTGATTTTTTGATTTATTGTAGAGATGAGGTCTTGCCAAGTTGCCCAGGCGGGTCTTGAACCCATGGACTCAGGCATTCCACTCACCTCAGCCTCCAAAGCGCGGGATTACAGGCTGAGCCACCGAGCCCAGCTGACAAATTGCTTTCTATAAGGGCTGTGCCAATTTACAATCCCACCAGCAATGTGTAGAGTGCCTATTAAATCTTTATAAACAATGGTATTAAATGTTTAAATCTTTGTAAATCTGTTAATTGAAAAGTTGTATTTTAATCTCAGTGGAAATTTGTATTTTCACTTAATAATATTGGGTATTTGAGCCATTTGTATTGCCTTTTTTGTAAATTGTCATGATTAAACATTAAAATTAAATATTGCTGTATTTTTGGTTTATACATCACAGCTGGAAGACACAACAAATTAATAAGCTACTTTCTGAAAATCTAACTGTTTTTCGAATAAATAGCCCCAAAAGAAAGGACTCTTTTCTGAACACTCCAGAAAAGTTTGAGTAATTTGTTCCATAAATATTTGAAAGACTTTAGTGGTGCATGTATCTCGGATTGGAATTTTATTTTATTTTATTTTTTTGAGAAAGAGTCTCACTTTGTCACTCAGGCTGGAGTGCAGTGGCAGGATCACAGCCACCTTTACTGCTGGGCTCGGGCTATCCTTCTGCCTCAGCCTTTCAAGTAACTGGAACTACAGGCATGTGCCCTACACCTGGCTAAGTTTTTGGTTTATTGTAGAGACGAGCTCTCACCAAGTTGCCTGGTCTCAGGCCATCCTTTCGCCTTCACTTCCCAAAGTGCTGGGACTACGGGCGTGAGCCACCGTGCCTGGCTTAATTTTTTTATTTTTAGAAATATTTATTTCCGTAGCACTGTAGTTACTTCTCCCTCATCAATTTTTGTAATTTGTAATTTTTCTAGAGAAAACATCTCTTTCATTGAGGCCTTCTTTCAGATATATTTGCCTGTGGTTGGTAAAGTATTGATTTCTTCTGTATACCTGTTCTCTTTCTTCATTGATCTTTTTTAAATTTTTATTATAAAGATGTGGGATAGCCGGGCTTGGTGGCTCAGCCTGTAATCCTGCGCCTTTGGGAGGCTGGGGTGAGGGGATTGCCTGAGCCCGCGGATTCGAGACCCGCCTGGGCAGCGAGACCTCATCTCTACAATAAATCAAAAAATTGGCCGGGCGTGGTAGCGCATGCCTGTAATTCCGGCTACTCGGAAGGCTGAGGCGGAAGGATCGCCGGAGCCCAGCAGGCGAGGTTGTGGTGGCCGGGAGCGGCCGCTGCACTCCAGTCTGAGCGACTGAGTGAGACTCCAACTCAAAAAAAAATAAAATAAAAAGAACATAAGTAACATCTCATTCTACTAGTTTGTTTTTCTTTTGAGTTGGAGTCTCACTGTTACCCAGGCTGTAGTGCAGTGACAGGCTCACGGCCACCGCTTCCTTGACCTGCTGGGCTCAGGCCATTTTCTGCCTCAGACTTCCAAGTAGCTGGAACTATAGACATGCGCCACCACACCCAGCTAATTTTTTAATTTATTATAGAGGCAAGGTCTCAGCAAGTAGCCCAGGCTGGTCTCAAACAACTGGGCTTATAGGCCTGAGTCACCACGCCCTGCCTCATTCTACTGTATCTCAAAATTTTAAGGCAGGCACAGTGGCTCACACCTGTAATGCTAGTATTTTGAGAAGCTGAGGCAAGAGGGTTGCTTGAGGCCAGGATCTTGAGATTACAGCGAGCTGTGTTCATACCACTGTATTCCAACATGGACGACAGAGCAAGACCCTGACTCTGAAAAAAAAAAGTTGCAGGGCATGGTGGCTTGTGCCTATAATCCCAGGACTTTGGGAGGCAATGGTGAGAGGGTTGCCTGAGCCGACAGGTTTGAGATCAGCCTCGGAAATTTGGTGAGACCTCATCTCTAAAATAAATTTAAAAATTAGCTGGGTGTAGTGGCGCATGCCTGGAGTTCCAGCTACTTGGAAGGCTGAGGTAGGAGGATCGCCTTAGCCCAGCAGGTCGAAGCCGCAATGGCCATGAGTATGCCACTACACTCCAGCTTGGATGACAGAGTGAGACTCCAGCTAAAAAAAAAAAAAGTTGTGATATTTTGGTGTGCTCCAGATTTTTATCTTAGAACTACATTACAGGTCAAGTTGAAGTTCTCTTGCAGATCTTTTACTGGTAACATTCCCTTTCTGTTTTCCCCAGAAGCAACAATTATTTGGTCTGGGTCATTCCATGCATATGTAATTTTATACTTAATTTGTACTCTAGTTTTGTAAGTTGCATTGCACATATCTTTTTACAATTTACTTTTTTTTTTTGCTCAGTGTTTTTGAGGTTTACATGGATCTCTAATTCATTTAGTTTAACTACTGAATAATCCATTATGATTATACAAGTTAATCCTTTCCTTGTTTAAATGGACATTATACATTGCATCTGATATTGCACTTCTGTAATACCACTGAACATTTTTATGTGTTCTTATATAGTTATTTATTGAGCAAGTATTTTATACAGATACTATTGGAGATTCATGAAAGGATTAAATAAAAGAAGACCTTGATTTCAGTGGTTTTCTTCCTTAGTTTTCTAATTTGGAAACTCAGTAAAGATATTGCAATAAATTGCCTACCAAGTTTTCAATTAAAAATGAGGCTTAGCCGGGCTCGGTGGCTCAGCCTGTAATCCGGCGCCTTTGGGAGGCTGAGGTTAGTGGATTGCCTGAGCCCGCGGGTTCGAGACCCGCCTGGGCAGAGGAGACCTCATCTCTACAATAAATCAAAAAATCAACTGGGCGTAGTAGCGCATGCCTGTAATTTCGGCTACTTGATCTTCAAAGAAGTCAAAGCAATGGAAAGTAAGACTATGCGGCATCATACATATATGAGACTGGCAGAAAACAAAATTATACAGCAACCCACAGCAATATAAAAGAGGAGATACTAGGCTGGGTGCAGTGGCTCAAGCCTGTAATCCCAGCACTTTGGGAGGGTGAGGTAAGAGGATTGCCTAAACTCAGGGGTTCGAGACCAGCCTGGGCCAAACTTGGCAAGACCTCATCTCTACAATAAATTTAAAAATTAGCCAGGCATGGTGGTGTGTGCCTGTAATTCCAGTTACTTGGAGAGTTGAGGCTGCGATGGCTGTGAGCATGCTACTGCACTCCAGCCTGGGCGACAGAGTGAGACTCCAACTCAAAAAAGAAAAAAGTGGCAATACTAAAATACAGGGGATGCCACAAATATGTATGCACTTCTCAGGCTGGAGAGCAGTGGCACACTCACGGCCACCCCAGCATCAACATGCTCGGCTCCTGTAATCCTGCCTCAGCCTTCCAAGAAGCCGGAACTACAGGTGCACAACCACGCCCAACCAATTTTTTTTTTTTTTAATTGTAGAG